AAAAAAAAAAAAAAACCCTCTTTAAGAAGGTTTGCGCTGCTAAAATCTTTCTTCACTGCCCTTTTTCTCCCTTCAGATTTGGTAAAGGTTTCGCCTTTTTGTGTTTTTATGTCTGGTTTATTTATGCAAATTGTTTCTTCCTCGTTTCAGGTGTTCGATTTGAAACTGTTATTTCACATATTGTCCTTTCCTGGGTTTCTTGCAGAGATGTCGATGGTAATTTTCTTGCAGCCGCCTATTTATTTTTGAATGTTCACTTCAATTCTTGAACAGTGATTACTGTGTTTATTGTGATGTAATATGTGAATTGTGATTGATTTGGTTGAGCTGATATTTAGTTTGTTCATCAGTTGAAGTTAGAATTCAATGTTGCAGAGCAATTGGGTGTTTAATGTTGTAGTAGGCTGGAAAATTTAGTGGCTTTCATTGTTCAGACAATGGTATAGAGAAATTAATCTTCCATGTTCCTTTCATTCGACTTCCCTTTCCGTAATTCATCTGTAGCATATCGTTTAACACTAATAAGCATTCTACTGGAATTTCATTTCATCCTTGTGATTTTGTTTATCGAGATTGGTAAATGTGATAAGCGTACGTTAAGCAACTCTGAACGAGGCTATCACATGAATATGCAGAGTTCGGGGTAATATGAATGTCAAATCCTGGTTTTGATTTTAGTTTTATCTCAGTTAAGGGAGATTTTTTGGTGTTTGTTATCTTAAATCAACCTTGTTTCTTCTGTTTTTTTCCCCCAATAGACATCGCCTATAGTTGTTGGTGCTACCATTGGAACAGCTGCTTTGGGAGCTCGATTTTTGCTTACAGCATGGCAGGCTTTTAAGGCCCGGCCTATAGTTCCCCGTGCTCGTAGATTTTATCCCGGGGGATTCGAACGGGTCATGACCAGGCGAGAGGCTGCACTGATTCTTGGAGTGAGGTCTTTATTTCTACCTGTAAACTCTTTACACTCGACTCGAGTACCACAAATTAGGCTTATTACTAAAAGTACCCCTGATATTTCATAAATTATAAAATCCAAAATAAAATCAAGCAGTCTCCAAATCCACAGATATCTTCATAGCTTTCCACGATGGAGGTGTTATCAAGTTATGTTGGGATGACCTGATTTTTGTGTTTCTTTTTGTTTTGTTTTGTTTTGTTTTTTTTTTTTTTT